TTGTGTTTTAATAATTCCGCTTTTCGGGTTTTGACATTTAAATATGTTAGAGACAAAGCTTGTGTGTGTTTTAAGTTTCAGTAGGAAATGTGTTAAAACTTAGCAAGATCTGTGACATATTAATATTAAGAATATTCGTTAAACGCGGATATGTAGGTATTTATATAGAAACGGGATGTACGCTAAAAGAATTTTGTAATCTCTGCCTACTCCCTCAGTAATTGACATTTTTTTTGTGAAATGACCGAATTTAATTATGAAAATAAGTATTCAAGTTCCTTGTATAAAGACAGAACAAATATTCATTTTCCGTAATCTTTTCATATGAATTATAGTAACCGTGGGTTTCCACTGTCTGCTATTACTGTCTCATTTTTTTCATAGAGATTGAGAGAGAGCAATTCCCATGGTTGCCAACTTCAATTTTTTGGTTTTAATTCTGCATAACCAATAGATTGATCACAGATTATTATATAAAATTATTTATTATGTACAGTATCTTCGAATATAAGTTACTTAGAAATACAATGAAAAAGAAAACTTCTTCCCAAAGCCGTCCAAAGTGTTTAAAACCGACTAATTCAGGGGTCAGCAACCTCTTTGGAATTGAAAAAACAGTATATGTGGTAATTTATTTTTAAATAGCGAAATTCAAATATAAATCTTTTGTGCGTGTAAGTGTTAGAAAATGACATAATAGTTCAATATTAACTCTGTTCAAGAGCCGCAGGTTGCCAGCCCCTGTTAAATCTGGCAAGGAGACAAAATTTGACGAGGCATATTTGCGTCTCGCTCGCACCCATAAAACTGCCATAGTGTGCAAGTGAGACGACTCTATGTCGAACTCGTCCGTTTAATTTTGTTTCCTTATCGGTTACATACAGTATGTATCTTTTTTGGAGTAACCAGCTTTTGACAGATGGCTTATATCTCCATTTAAAAACTGTATATACGTATAGGTTAGGTTGGAATATTCAACATTCCAAGGTTTTTAGATAAATTTCCTAATATTTCGATCACTGCCCTATGGTAACTATTGTTTGTTGTGATTTTTACTCAAATATGTGGGTCTAATTAATGGTTTTCTTACTAATCAATAGAAAATACAGGGTGTTTATAATATGGTTCATGTATCCAAGATTCAATATTTAAAATTAGATTAAGTTAACGCGTATTAGGATAGCAGTAATGCGGGCACAATAACAAGGTAGTCTCAACTAACGTGTCATTGTAGTCTACAGTCAGCTGAAAAAATGTTTATCAAACTAATATAAATGCGAATGTTTAAATGGATGGTTGTTTGTTAGAGTTTGTAGCTTAAACTGCTGTAATTTGGCATTGATGTAGAGTATAATCTGGAAAAACACATAGGCTACTTTTGTTTTTTTTTATTCCATGCGTACGAAATCGCGGGCGAAAGCTAGTACATATATAAATCTTTAAAAAATGTATTTTCCTTCAGTTTCAAAAATATGTATATAGCAGGGTTCGGGAATAGAAGAATTATTCTGAAACTTTATAAATGTATTATACTAATTTTTGCAGCTGACTGTACATGTATATAATGACGTCAACAGGAAAGTGTTTATTGTGCACTAGTTGTAAATTAATAAGTTAACTAAGCTATTTGTCTTCGAAAAATATTTCTGTGATTATCTAAAATTGATTGAATTTGAGTTTTTCAAGTATTTGTAGTAAATTTTAAATGTTTAAAGCTTGTTATTAATGTGTAATTTTCAATTTGCATTAATGCTTTAAAAAAAATTAACTAACTATAGCCATGTAAAAACATAGAGTTTAGAAATGTTAACCCTTAAATGCATATTTTTGCCAAAAACCCACAAACAAAAGTATAGTTTTTATTGAAACCAAGATTTTTATAAATTATTTTCCCTTAATCTGTGACTCAAAACCTGTACCGAAATATTTATTTCATAATTAAATAAAAAATAATGCATTTAAGGGTTGAATTCTGTTTTTTTTTTTAACTTTCAACTTAATTTTTTTTTTAATTTTGCGGATTTGTTTTTTAAAGTAGTTAAAAATTGGTAGATTTAGCAGTATTACGAAATATTATTTTAATAAACATAAAATTGTCTTCACATTAAAACCTAATTTATTACCATTCCATTTGTGTATTTATCGTTTTTCATCATTTTTATATGTAAAATTAAAAAAATTAAAAAAAGCATCTTGTGCTCATACTAATAAGTAACTTTTGTGCATTTTACAAGCAGCTAAATTTTACATTAAAAATACATTACGTATTATGTCTTAGTGTTAAAATTATAACCCTGAGTAGGCCTTGAAAGCCATATTTATTGAATGTGTAAGAAATTTTAGTATTAAAATTAGAATATTCTCAAAAAAAAACTTTTTTAACCTATTTAAATTGTTGTTGTTGTTTGAAGTTATGGTAAAAACACCTTGGAGTTAGGATTAAATGCAACGAAAGAGATAGAAATAGAGACATTGAGTAAACTTTGTTGTCTCAGTTTTATAAGGCAGATAGAAAAGGATGGCGATATGTTTTTGTAAAAGACAGAAAGACGCGGTTTTTTAAGGACTTTTGTATTAACATCATTTACATTCTCTTTATTAAAATAGAGACAACAATACATGTCAATAAAAGTTTCATAGCCAGGTTCTAGTGCCACAAGCGGCCCTGGGCGAGGTTTCTACAACGCCCCTTTTTTACTTGGAGAGCTTTAGCGCTCCCTTTTTATCCGCCCTGGGCGTGGTAACGCCCTAACGCGTACTGCATTCGAAACCCACAGTCGTAATTACAACTCTAATTGTATTTTTAATGTACTCACGCATGTTTTACGCTATTGTATGTGCTATTTATTCTATTTTTAACGAAACACGTTAAATTGACACGATCTGATCTAACTTCTTTGTAAGTAAAAAAATTGACATGTGAATAAATTTAGGCGTTTAAATTATCAGAAATGTTTGTATATTTTTTTTCTGCACATATAAAAATGACGATTTTTCAACTAATTTACTTATTTTATAAAGACTTGTAAATGTTAAATATGTTCGAAGTAAAGTGCGTACATCTTAAATAGTCAGTGTATATTTCACTTTATTTTTTTAATGTTTTACTTAGTTACCAAATGATTGTTTAAGTGCTTCTGAGTGACCGTATATATGACGATAAAGCCCTAGAATATTGCCTCGGCATAAAGCAGATGTCCGCTCTCGAAGGCGGCTCAGATACTAATGACTGGCTAATCGTGCTTCCCGCCACTGGTTATGTACAGTCGGGACAACTGGCGACGTTCCACTTAAAGTTACAATCGTTTGAACTTTTTTAAACGAGACACTGAACAAAAAACAATACACGCAGCTTAGAAATGAATCTGTATGAAAAAAAAAATCGGTGATACACCACTAGTTTTTTTTTTATTTTTTGTTTGCACTCACTGCTACCTAATTAGCTTTCTGTAAGAAGAGGCAGAGATTTTCGTTTTTTTCTAAGTGGAACATCGCCGATTTCCCTGACTATACATCCGATACAGTGTCGCCAACACCACAGTACCTAATTATCAATATCTCAAATGTTGGCAAGCCCTAGAAAACTGTCATTTTATTAATTTATTTCAGTACTTAAGGTGTTTATTTAGATAAACTAACAAAATTAAAGTTGTAAGGGGTTATAGTAAGTTTCAAATAAGAATGTATCTGGCAACCTCGGTCTTTCACATTCTTATTTTAAACTCATTGTGCGTAGCAAATTTTTAACCGTTAGAAATAAGGCATAGCCTAGTTATCTGTATAAATAACATAACGAAATACAAAAACAGTGTGATATGAAAGGAATGGCATTATAGGAAAATAATTTATAAAGTTACCTCGTACCGCCATAGAATCCAATATATTGCATCTCAATAGAATATTTGCCATAGTATTACAGCGATCCGATATGATCCCTGCGTTCATGTAAATAGAGTCTAAAATTCATCGAAATGTGTTGATTTACTATGGCTAGAATTTATTTTTTTAAACATCCCTCTCTCTCTCGTGTCGGAGGCCAAGACCCACTTTGGGTCGCTGCGCCAACGCAGTAAGTAAGTAAACATCCCTCAGAGTTTGACGTTTAGCTTTTAAATATCGGAGCTTACGGATTTTTACATATGGCTTCGCTACTGGTAACATTTAAATAGGAAAGAAATATTTATTGTCTGTAGATTTAAATTGCATTACGTAACTGTTGACATTTTTGTGTTATGGTAACATTTATTTGTGTCATTTTAGTGTTACCAGTAGTATAGTTTTGAAGAATTAATCTGCTTGCATACGCTCAATTTCAAATATTCAAAGAATTTGTAAGCAATTAATATCCACCGTATAATTAAGTCGACTTTTGTATTATAAAGTGTACATTAAACTGAGAATAAAAGGGTTTATGTGATATTATGTTGTGTCTATTTCATTTGACATTTTCCTGCATTACATAGTTGACAGTGGTAGAGCCCGCTTTAACATCTTCGAATGGGCCGGCTTGCCCGGTGAAATACCACGACCACACAAAAACAGGCGTGAAGTGGAAGTAATTCTGCATTTCGTTTGATGAGTGTGGTGCGGGAGGCCTAAGTTTAGTCCCTTACCCTTTTTAAAAGAGGAAAGGATGGGAAGAAAAACTGGATTAACGGTGGAGGAGACGCATAGGAAGGGGAAATGTCTTCTTTATGTGCGTCTCCTCCTTCAATTAAGGGTAGGCAACGCATCTGAGATTGCGGATGTTTATGGGCAGCGGTCGCTTTCCATTTCGGTGGATTCAGGTGACCGCTTTCTCGTTTGCTACCTTATATTATAAAAAGAAAATTACGATAGATTTTCCGACCATACGAGATAAAAGGGACAGAAATATCTCACCTTTGTTTCTCCAGTGAGTACCAGTGGTAATAAAATTTACTCGTTAGAATATAAAAATAAATAAGAATAAAAATGATTGAGGTATTAAAAATATATTGGATTCAATAAAACATCTAAAATTGGTATTTCATATTATTTATTTTTTACACTTTACTTCGGTGACCGTAAACGAATTTTTCTACATCGCTCCATCTCACTTCAAATACGACATAATGATGCTAAGAACATAAATATTTTTTTCGTATTACTTTAAGATTAAATAGATAATCTTTTTTACATCCTAATGTAACGATATCATTTAATTTAATCTGTATATTAGATAATACAACAAATTAAATTACACAACTTATAATTATTATACTCTTTATCGGAGAACAATTAGTCTAAAAGCCTAAATAATTGCAATTACAATATACATATATAAATACTCGTAACAAAAATGAAGGAACTAAATATTTGAATCTACTAAAATAATTCAATCACAAGTTTTATCAACTAAAAATACTTAATATCTTAACATTATGTACCTATTACAATTTACGTACTTACATTTGGCTCCCAATGAAAATCGTTTAAAAGTAGCAGTGAAAGTGCCTTAAATTCAAAGTAGATTAAAAATGAAAAAAAAAAATAAGACTACACTATTAGGCAAAGTTTACAGGAACTTCCAATCATTAAAAGAATTAACAAAGCAGAGATAAATCAACGTCAATGTTGAAGATGTACGTAAAGAAATCAAGAAAAAAAAAATGTTGAAAAGCAAAAAATATATTTTACGAAAATCAAATTCGTAACATACACATAATAATGATATCTTCAATCGTCGTACATTATTAACAAATAACAAAACTTAATTAAAACGTCTCAATTAAAACTTTAACAAAATCACTCTAATACTGCTGAATTTGTACGAATTAGGTAAAATCTACAAATCGACAACATAATATTTCGATCACGAGTCACAACACGTGAGGTACAACCCTAATTAAAAAATACAGATGAATTTAAAACCTCCTTTTTAAAGTAAGTTTAAAAAAAAATAAAATATGAATAAACGGCTGCCGCGGACAATGATTACTATCTGAAATTTTGGCACATCAAATATTTTAAAACCTTCGAATCGCTAAGACTTTAATGAACATCAATCTATTAAATACCGGCTAATTTCTTTAAAATTCTTACATTAATTTACAAACAATTATTCGCGTGACGTAACATAGTTGAAGAGTTCAACGACCTTTTATACGTTAATTTTGATAATCATTTAATACCCGGTGCTGCTCTAATGGAACTTTAAAATAATAAAAGCAAAATGTCTGTTAAACTATAGATACATAGTCAATAATACAATCTTTAATATATAAAAATCCCTGTAATGATAATATTGTTACATAATGAAGTGACACTAAATGGAAACTACTGCGTTTGAGAATCATTGCATTGCTCGGAGTCTGATGTGTTGTACAATTGTATAAAATAGAGTCGTAAATAGTGTTCAGTCTTCTGTTAAAGAGTTTTGCGGTTTTGTAATATGTAACGACGAATAGTTAATTTATTTTGATAAATTCATACGTGACTCAATAGTTGAAATAATTCCGTTCGGAAATCACTCGCTGTAAAAAGTAATACATCTGATTCATACAAGTCTAAAACAAATAGAGTATACTTTATAAGAGACATGATAATGTTTCTAGTTTTATTTGGAAGAAATTACATTAAAACACTTTACAGCTACACATTAGTGATGTGAACTAAACAATATTTACGATAAATACCTCGATGACGGCTCATGTCATGTATCACTAATTATGAATTGATTGTATACAATTATCTAAAGCCAGGTTGGAATGATCCATTTACCCTAAACCTTCGTATTTATTCACTAAAAAAATTTGAAAGCTCCTTTTTATTTGAACATTGAGTGCAGATACTTTATTTGTCTAAACCGGGCGCGCACTGTCATGGTAATGTTATTATATTTCGATGACGTTAATACAGTTCTTTTTATAATCTGTAATCGAAAACTGCTGACGTCACTTCGTCGACGGGACCACCCGAGTGATGTACCTTTGCAAATGAGATCACGAAATATCAGTACCAGGACGCGAGTTTAGTAATTTTTATATTACGTAGTTGTTCAAAAATTGTAATGTGATATTTTCTAATACAATTATGGGTTAAAAAGTTAGGAATTGTAGATGTTAAATAGCAGTTCACTGTGGTGGATTGTTTAAATAATTTTTGTTTCTGTGTGTGCGTGTGTGACTAGTGCGTCGCGGACTTCCCTCGTCATCTATCGACATCGATAACCGAACAGTTCACTGTTTCACTTCACTAAAACTACAACAATTACAAATACACTACTATTTACCATTTAGACACCGAATGTCTCCTTATTTAAGGTTAATTCATTATAATTTCAATTAATTACCAATAACTATTTACATTTAAAAATTGTTTATCATCGAATAATATCTATTATTACGAAATATTTTACAAACTTTGGTGAAATTCAGAAGTAAACTTGCAAATATAACATATATCTACATCGGGAACGTTTAAATACATCAATAATTATAAACATAGCTTAAAACAATGATCGGCAAGACGTATTTGAGATTCGCCATCGAATTATAATTACAGTTAAAACAATGTAATTAATTATTATTAACTAATGTCTAAATAAAATATAAGGAATGTTGATTTGGAATGTTAACAAGAGAGACGACAGCCGCCGCAGCGGCCGCAAACACAAGGATCACAACACCTTTCATACTTATTGCACACCGTCGGAATTTACTAACGCCTAATCACTTACATGCGATATTTTAAATATACATTTACAATATAAACACATCTTTTTAAATATAAATTTAACTAAGACCAGACGCGGTGGACACGGCGCGGAGTTTTGACTTTCAAATGTTTGCTGTTGTGCGGACGCTACTGAAATCCCTTCAGTGTATCGCGATCGAGTTCTTTGAACTTCATATCTGATAATATTGCACTTGATAACTCAAAGGCTCGCAATGAGAATATAAGAAACGCAATACATTAATTTAATTTCAGTTGCGCCGTTCTCCTACGTGCCGCACCGCGCCGTCTGCTTCGAATAAAAATTACACATAGAGTTTGATCAATAGAGCGCCGAGAAAATCCCGGGCTCCTTAACTAGCGATTTTGTTTTTTTAATCTTGTCCGTTGTGGTGTAGAAGCGTGCGAGTGTCGGGCGGGTGTGGCGGGTGCGAGGGCCCGCGATAGTCGCCCTCCTCATCCGCAGAGTTTTCTTTCGACCTATCGCTCTTGCAGTCCTCCTCCTTCGTCACCCCTGAGAGGGAATCTAGCGCCATCGGCATAGACTGATAGAGATCTCGGGCTTTGTCGTTGGGTGGGAGAAGATGCAGCATGTTGAGAGGCATTGGGAAGCCGGGCGGAAACTCTGGATAGAAGCCCTGCTGGAAGGGGTTGAACATAGGGTTTGAAGTGATGTCAGGTTCGGAGCTGGCGGGGCGTTGGCCTTGATTCTGATGCTGGTCGTCCTTGTCGTGATGCTTTGATGGGTGGTTGTTGTTGTTATTGCCGGTGTTGAGATTGAGTACGTCGAGGGGTCCGCCGATGCAGTCTTTCCGTAGCTGCTCCAGTTTGAGGCTCTTGCCATACTTGCCGCGTACGTACATCAGAAGTGAGTTGTAGGGGATGCCGAAGATCCTAGAGGCCTGGCTGGTGGTCATCTTCTTGTTCCAGACATGCTGCAGCGCCTCTGTAAGCTCAGCGTTCGTCCACGAGCGGGGTGGCCCTCCGCGTGGCGCGCTGTGCTGTCCTTTAGGTCGCCCTGTAAAATAAAATTGTTTAGAAAACCAATGTTTCAAAAACTTTTACATTTTTCGGCGTATTTTGAACTGAAACATTGATCGTATTGTATATCGAATATCGTTTAAATGTATAAATTCATCGTCAATAAGGAATTAGAGCCCAATAAAGATGTCATGGAAAAGTTCTCGCATGCATTACGAAACGTTTAGTTAGTTAATTACATTACTGGGGTAGAGTTTAGTGATTTATGATCGTCGAAGTGCGGGGGCACGACATGTGCCGTGTGCCGGCGCTACCTAATACCGCTACTCGGGGTCGCTACCCGCTACCCAATACCGCTAATAGCCGTGTTTCGGCTGCAGCAAGCGCTCGCGACACACGACTAAATGATCGGGTTACGACGATTCCCGTATTAATTTGAAACTTTCACGCAATCGTTGAAATGTTATTCGTAGATTTCAAATCAGAAAGTATAAAATATTTATTTGTTTATTTTTTTAATGAAGCGACATTTCTGTCTTGCTTATATAATCTATTCTTTCTTTTAATAACGCTTAATTATCTCCTTGAAGACCTAAGAAACCGCTCTGCATCAATTACGACTTTAAAATGACATAAATAAAATTCCGAACTTAATTCAATACCGATCGCCTTTCGAATCATGAAACGTTGTTTTGTCAATATGTTAATCTGTTTTTATTTCTTTTAACGGTGGTCCCGTGACACGCGACCTTTCGGAGGTGAAATTAAAAGCAGGATTCTTATTGGGATGGCTTGTTTGTTGTCTTTAGAGTTCGTGTATTGACGGCGTCTCGAAACGTCGCTAATCGATCGACGTGTATTGTGAAAAATAGGGTTGTCATTTTTAATTAACTTGAATATGTCGATTGTATTTTTTTGCTTAGATTCTATGACTACGACAGACACCCCTGAACCGATGACTTTTATGTTTACTGTTGTATAGTTCTCACTTTTAATATGCAATTTAGTTGCGTATAGTTAAACAAAAAATTGACTTGTGGGCCTAAGTTAAGGTAACTTTGGATCATTAGGTAACAACCTTTTTATGTCAAAACAAGAGCCATGTCCCTTTGATGCTGTCTTATTATTTATTATCTGTTATTTTCTATACATAAGTATACATTTTTGCCGATAGATCTAGTCACTAACAGCATATTTTCTACCGAGCTAAGTTTATTGAATTAAATTATTTTTATATTGGCAACCCTGTCACTTGCAAGCGTGTAGCGGTTGCATTCAAAGCATACGTTAGCCTCTGCCGGCTCCGATACTAGTCACTATCAGATCGTCTTAATAAACATCGAGGAGACAATGCGTGTACCATTCGCTACCCGCTTACGAACCCTGAGCTATTCATATTATTTATGTTATGTCCTATTGTTAACTGTGCAATGTGAAACTTTGCATAATTTCTCTAATCTTTAACGTAGAGAAAATTATAATAAAATGAGGCACTTTCTCAAAAAAAAAAAATTATTAAAAATTATTCGAATTCCCAATTCAATAGTTCTTTTAAATTAACTTTAATTTCGCAATATCTTTTAAGAGAAATTCATAGAATTAAGAAAAAAGTCCGTACTCCGTACTCTTAACCGGTTAGTAACTACATCTTTTACGAGTACAATCGAAAAATAACACGAATCTCAATAATAAAATCGTTTTGCATTTGTTAAGAAACGACACAAATTATGCGTAAAATGTTGGCATTACTTACATTTCTTCTTAACGTTGGTAAAGAGCTGAGCGTCGAGCGGCGGCGCGCGGTGCTCGACATCCATGAGCGGGTACATCTTGTGCTCCATGCCCGGCGGGAACAGCCCCAGCGGGGACTCGATGCCGAACACTGCGCAAAAAATAACACATTAGCTATGCAAATAACAAGTCAACAACACAAATGAGTTATAATCATTAAACTGCAAGTAAATCAATTGTATCTATATCTATATTAATAGAATAAGGAGGAAAAAAATATATTTTTGTACGTGTTGAAATAACTCAAAAAACCGGACCCATTTCAAAAATTCTCTCACCATTAAAAAGATATGTAATCTGTGAGTAACATAGACTATGCTTTTATTATTTTTTAATATTAAATAAACTAAATAAAACACGAATATTAATGGGAAAACCTTTACAATAATATATCAGTAACATATATCATTCATGTATATCTTTTAGTCGTAAGGATGGATTTTTAACTAAAAACAGCCGGTTTTTATTTCTTTTTCACTTATTCTGCACTAAGGGATTATTTAAATTGACATAAAATAAATGTGTGTAGACATCATAATAGACATTAAGTGGCAAAACTATTGATCCCTACAGTCGCGTAGCCTCGAAGACTAGTGATAAAACAGGTACTCGTATATATAAAACATAAGAATAATTACCGGATGATTATTATATTATTGGGCAGTAATATTTCGCTGAGTAATATCGGTTGTTAAACTCTTAATAGTAGAATAATCGTAAAAGACTATCCACTTTACTGACAGGCATGAATAAAGTTAACAGTGTTGATACATGCTTTACGAGGAAAATAATTATTTGTCTCTGGTCAGGTCTTTTTGCCCGAAGTTTTTACGTAGGTAAATCCAACTATGTACAGAATCTATATTATTCTATATAAAAACCTGAAATATATAGGTCTCTAAAACTAAATTATTTCGATACGAATTATAACGGATTGAAGTAGTACATATAGTGAAAGGTGCGGGCCGACCACAGCACAAAACCTTGGAAGGAATTTTATAGTTCAGCTACTCGACACTAGATGGCGCTATCAGTATCATTGAACTTTTGTTTGAAATCTACAAAACTTTATATTGGAAATCTAAATGGTTGGATATGTTAAAACATAAAAAGCCTCTTAGGATCAAAAGCACCTTTAACCCTAACTACTGTTTAAGGTCATAAAATCTATGTACTAGAAAATCAATACTGAAATTGAAAAGAACGGCCCACGGACAGAAAATTATTTCAGTATAAGCTGTGTGGAATGTAATAAGAGACAATATAATTTATTATTAGCTACATAAACCGCTTATGAGCTTTAAGCTCAGAGCTTATTCAAGTTTTAATAAATTCAAATTGCGCCATATATTTATTAAAAATAGTTTTCTATTAGTTTTTGGGCCGATTTGCCTATTGTTCGATCAATGGGAATGTTTTCCCGTAGGATCGATTAATTATGTTGATTCCATCGACTCAAGAAGTAAAAAAATCCCAACTAGATCGGTCTAACGGGATTTTTATTTATATTATTCACTTATTTAATTACAACGGTTCTTTCCAACATTCATAAATATTGTCTGCTTAAACCATACTGAGTTTAAATCTTCATTGTATTTTATTTCACTGGTGTATTTTATCAATGTATTAAAAATTTATTACAAAAATAGAGAAATTTTAATGATAATCTTCAATTAGCTTTAGCCCGCGACTCCGTCCGCGTTAAAAAAACAATGTGAGTAGCTTATATGTTCTTCCAGGCTATCCTCTACATTTATGCCAAATTTCATTGAGATCCGTTCTGCAGTTTGGGCTACAAACTCTAACAAACATCCATCTATTCATCCATCTCAACTTTCACATTTATAATATTAGTATGAAGTATGTTTGTTTTTAATACTTTTATGTTATTTTAGATTGCAAATACTAGTGCTATTAAAATATCTGTCTGTTAATAAATACAGTAAGGTTCGAGGCACATCTGTTCGCCGCGAGTGGCGCTGAGGTGTCCGCAGTGAAATGCGACAAAATCAATACCTACTCCTGGCAAATTGAGAGATCCTACTCTCGCTATTTATGACGGTGTATGAACAGAATGAAGTATTTTTATACATTTTTCTTATGTTGTAGATATTGTTGAATATTTTTAAATTTAAAACATAATAATGAATCGTTGAAGTTTTAGTTAAATTTAAGACCAAGCAGTAATTTTCTCGTTTGACCTAATAAATCCTATAAAGATGGTTAAAATACTATAGGATATTAAGTAAATATAGCTATATGTATTATAGTTTTGAAGTATGTTATTCTTTAATTGTATTTTGGTATTAATTTCATAAAACCGCTATCATTTATATACTAAATGTACAAAGCAGTATTGAAATTAAAACAAATCTTGTAATATTAAATCACCGGCAATAGAGTACAAGCAAATGACATTTACTTCCACGCTACACTAATGATAAAATTTAATCGACCAATAAAACTAAATTTAAATTTGATTCGACGCTGACTTGGTGCGCAATAGTTTTACATGCGTTTAATGACTCTTTATAATTTAATAGTTAATCTATCTACATAATTATTATACTTTACAGTAAAGAATACGACGAACACATCGAAAATGTGTTTTTACTTTTCACCACTAGATGTCGCTGTGAGTTTTTAAACACCAAAAGTTTCAAAATAAAAAATCGATTTTCATTTACTCCTGCAATTATTTTATTATCTATTTCAACCAAAATGATATATACAGTAGAAAAAGTATCGTCTTTCTTTTATTGTTAGAAAACAATCGAGGTAGTTCGTATAGAGAACATTTCTGTGAATTGTTGCTAGAAATTGTAAGAACAATATGAACTTTAGAGTTTCGACAGAGTAACCTCTGACCATTCCTTTGCTCGTTATGAATCACCTTTCATAATTGTATTTTGTTCTGTATATATTATTAGAGAGAAAGAGAATAAAAGATATCTATATATTGTAATACATGATGCCAGCATTCAAAACCAGCGCTAGCATACAACTGGTATAATGTTGATTGGCTCCAGTGAGAGTCCAAATGTACTGAAATCCTAATATTAAACTTGGATTTATATCTAAAATAAAGTATGTACAGTATTTAAATGGTTAACAGATAAGAACAAAAATCAAAATATTTAAAGATGTTGCTTTAGCGTTTTAAAATGATTTGTTAAATTTAGTTTTCAGAGTGTTACCAGTTCAAAATATCGGATATACCGCAAAGAAGGGATAATTGTCAATCGCCAAAGCACTCGTTAGTGCCAACGATATTTGTCATTTGCATAATTATACAACGGCCTATACATATTGCATGGAAATTGGACAAAAATTATACGTGTTTTTGGGTCAAATTAGATGAAACGCGGTATCATTACAGATAGTAAAATTAGTGTTTTGTCATAAACTTATAGTCAGGTCAATTATGTCTTTACTGTTTTTGGCGGGAATTGTTTTATATCTTGTGAATGTAAAGAATGTCCTAAGAAGAAAAAAATGACTGATTTTATTGTACATTTTAAGGATGATGGATAATATAATGAAAGCTTTTAAAATGTGATATTTCTGAACAGTTACTGCGACGTCTTTAACATCTATCCAGCAAGAAATTCGAAATTAGGATAAGTTAATGGCCTAGAATTTTCATATTTATCGTTTATTTTTATTATAAAATAACAATTTCTTGGAAAATAGAGTAAATCTTGCGGTCAATTAGTTGTGCCGGCGACGGCTGACGGTGGGCGACGGTCAGCTTGACGCTTTCTAATTCTAGACTATCGGACGCCTTCACAGAACTATCCGACCATAAACAATGATTTACGAAACATATCCACCGCCCGATACAAAACGCAATACGTTCGCATTCGATACGATATTTTTTCGTAGATTTCATAAGATTTTTAACAATTGCTACATTAAAAACAGTTTCTAAAGCTTGAAAAACTTAACGGTTTTAACTCGACTCCAAGTTCACAATCGATCCGCATCCCGAGTGCGTATTGAAAACGAAAACCCAAACTTCTCAACCCTTCCGCGACCATGTGTAACCTTGCCGAACTTTACCCCATTCATTCGGATGTCACGCACCCTCTCTCTCCCACGCATGTGTTGTTTCGTCTCACCTCACATGCGAAGTATAACCCGACCGAATTTAGGGGTCAATAACACAGCACGAAGTAGCTTCGGAGGGATGACGTCGTAACTTGTGTCATATAGGCATACACGTGATGTTTCGGAAGGGTCGTCATTGAAGGCCCCGGCACGGCGCAGGGCACACACGCGGGCGGGAGCTGACGTATCGAGGTTGTGTGGGAGTCGCCGCGTGTTGTCTATGGTCAGGCCGGAGCCGCGCGTGCCCGCCATTTATTTTGCAACGAGATTTACAACTATAACTGTAAATTAACTTTATCGAGCGGAGCCGAAACTAGGTCGTATGGAATCAGCATTAATTATATCGTTTTAATCTCGGAACCGATGTTGGCCGTACAATAGATCACATGATAGATAGCGGCTGAGCAAGGACGCGAAAGTACTTAATAATGAGAGCTATAACAATCGTAAATGTGCAGCAAACGGGTTAATCTATTGTTTTTCAGAGAAACACATTTACCGATGTGGGGAATGATTAAAGTGGAAAGAAGTCTAGGCCGCGGCGATGGGCAGCGTATCCTTGCATTGTTCAAGATGATCGCGTGACCAATACGAGTCCTCGTTACATAAATAATCAGGGGTGTACTGCACCGCGCCGCTACTGCAAGCTACGTTCGCCTATTGTCTAGAACGCCTTGAGGTTTGATTGGAAACGGTTATGGAAGAAAAATTACATCTTGTTGAACTCGACCGCGTTAAGACGTACCATTATGATCGCTGACACAAATTGTATAATTATTATAGACGAGACGCATACGTTGCGATGCAAATTAGCATACTTATTCATGGTTAATACAAGATTTACTAGACAAGCTGTTTTATTAAATTAATTCGTACAGTATCTTTAGTCTTTTATGTCCAAATATCTTGTATTGTCAATCAAGATTTTCTATTTTTTTATGTATGTTATTACGACCTTAAGTTTAGTTTAACGTTAGAACG